GTATCGCTGCAGTGGGACTTGAAGAGTTGCAGCCAAAGGACCGGATTCAGAGGGGAGGCTAACTTGGGGGCAACATACATCTGCTTCCTCAGCCAGCAGCCTCCAGCCCCACAGCGCCTCAGACCCCTTATGCAGGGCCTAGCTCTGCCCCTTCCAAGGCCCGACCCAGTCTGGCCCACTGACTCTGAGCTGGTGTGACTCACTCAGCGAGGGGCTGTGAAGGGGGGGTGGGGGGGCAGAGGAAAGGTCTGAACCGGAGGGAGTGAGAAGGCGAGCGTTAAATCTGGGCATGCCCCACGGGAGCCTGCCCCTGCTCACACTCCCGCCTCTTGCCCTTGGTGCGTGAGTTATGCCCACAAACGTACTCAGCAGGCTCCGATGGACAGTGGTGCCCGCACTGGGCCGGCCTGGCGACCCACGGGGCAGCGCTCTGAGGTGGGGGCTGTCTTTGCTGTTTGATGGGAGCGCGGCAGTGACTGGAGCCGGCACTAGATGCTCTGGCACCCTGCGCCGTTGCTAAGCAGTGCGGGAGAGGCGGGGTGGATGCAGGGTATCACCTCCCAAAAGGCACAGAGGCCCTGGTTGGGAGGGAGCAGCTGGGCCCCAGACAGGTTAGTTCAGAGGTTCCCAGCCCTGGCCAGGGCTGCATACCCCTCAGGCCAGCCTTGGGCATCACCTTGGACTAGCCTAGGAGAATCCTCTCTTCTGCTCTGCCTGAGACTTGCAAGCCCAGGGATACTGAGAGTCCCAGCAGGCATGCGGAGGGCAGGACAAGGTGCCCCCCAGTGACAGGGCTGGGAGCAAAGCATGGGACCTGCTAGGGAGAGCAGGCAACCCCCAAACAGCCATTTCCCCTGCTGCAAAGCACCTTGGTTCCTTTGATCCTGCTGATCAGGGTGCTCGCTGCATGGCTAGAGGAAGGGGTGCAGCCCCATCGTCTCCCTAGGGACACAGCAGGCTGCGCCCTGACAAATCCGTTTGGAGCATTTGAGCAGACAGGGGCCAGCTGTTTGCTGCGAGCTGCCCTTCATCCATTCTGCCTCGCGCTGCTTGTAACCACTTTGCAAACAGCCAGCTCTTTCCAGCTGCCACGGCAGGGGGCAGGTATCTTGCACTGGCACAGATCAGGTTAGACCTGGGCCCCCCGTCACTGGCTTCTACAGGCTGGAACATTTAGCATCATGTTATTGCAGCAGGTCGGCTTTTTCTCCTGGGGTATGACTCACCCCTTGCTCACCTGAGCTCTGCGTGCATCACACAAGCCCAGACTGAGTCCTCAAAATAGGGTGGTCAACTGACTTAGGCTCCCACTGCGGGGCTGAAAAGAGCAGCTTAGCTCATTGGGATTGGCCTTGGAGCCTGAGCTATGAAACCCAGCCAAGGGGAGGGTCTCGGACCCCAAATGTCTCCACTGCCAGTTTAGCCCTGCAGCATGAGCCTTGCAAGTTTGAGTCAGTCGACCCGGGCTCTGAGACTCACGGCCATGGGGGTTTGTTTGCTGTGCAGATGTACCCTTTGTTAAGCTAAAGCTCCTTGACTCTGTCACGACAAGGCAGGTTTCTAATCCTTTAAACATTGTCATGGCTCTTCTCTGGCCCCTCTCCAATTTATCAACATCCTTCTTCAATTGTGGGCACCAGAACTGGACCCAGGACTCCTGCAGGGTCACACCAAGGCCAAACAGAGAGGTGAAATAACCTCTCTGCTGTTACTCCAGATTCCCCTGTTTATACATCCCAGGATCGCATTAGCCCACAGGGAGCTCATCTTTGGCTGATTATCCACCATGACCTGCAAATTTTTGTCAGAGTCCCTTGCTGCTCAGGATCGAGTCCCCCACCCTGTAAGTGCGGCCTGCAGGCTTTGTTCCCAGATGTACACGTTTACATTTAGCTGCATTAAAACCCATATTCGTTTGCATTACATTTAGCCATGCTAAAATGTCTGATTAATTAGGCTCGTGAGGAACCCGCTCTCCAGGGGCAAATTTCAACTCAGCCAGACACAGCGCAGGCAGACACCTGTAATGCAGCCCTGATCATAACAGGCCTCTTCTGCTGCCCCCCAGAGTCAGTAGCTGGATGGCCAGGGAGCTCACTGAGATAGCTAGAAGCTGGGGAGTGGCCGAGAAGAGAATCCCTTTCTGTTACATTCAGATTTATTAAATATTAATAGTCAATTGTTGCCGAATTTCACAGTTTCAATGAGCCACTCAGGCTGTAACAGGTACATCCGTGGCTCACTTCCTCGAGTATGCATAGCCCTCATTAGTGCTAACGGGGGCTTGTTTCCTCGATCCCTTGATGTCAGGAGTCTGGTGGCCACGCAGAAGTGCCATAATTCCTCACCTGTGTGTCATAGTGTCATAATTCCTCACCTGTGTGTTTGGGGGTTGGACTAGATGACCTTCTGGGGTCCCTTCCAACCCTGATATTCTATGATTCTATAGCTCCTGTACCAGCAGCAGCTTGGGGGAGATTCTCCTATCGTGCAAGCGGGTGGCAGCAGCGTGGGCTTTTGGAGCAAGAGGATCCGATCCGATCCCCGCTGGCAATGGGGAAGCTCTGAGCGATTGCAGTGTGCCGCATGGCGACAGCTCAGAGCTCCTGGGTCACTGCAGTAATGCATTCACTCAGCGTTTCCTTAGCAAGAGCGGGCTAGGCTAGCAATAGTGATTGATAATCCTCAGTGGCTGGCAGCCAAAGCCAGATGAATTAAGGTGGGGAATAAGGTGCGAATGTTTAACTATGAGGGTGATTAACCTTTGGAACAGCTCAGTATGTGGGGGCGGTGATGGGGGGGGTACGTTCTCCACCACCGGCCCTGTCAGCTCACAGCTGGAGGACGTGCTAAAAGATATGCTCTAGATCAAAGTGGGGTGGCGTGGAAGCAAACCAGGGCGTTGTGTCGGTCCAGGACTCCAGATGTCCGGGATGGATCTGGCTTCCTCCAGACACGGGAGGAGTTTGGTAAGTCTCCAGCCTGGATTTCCGTCCGTCTCAGAATGCGGTAACCCTAAGGCAGCGCTGAGGGTGACACTGCCTATGGGGCATTCTGCGGTGCTGGCCCTTGCTGTGTGCCAGTCACCCCCTTGGCACTGAGTGGGGGGCAAATCCCACCCACAGGGCATTCGCCTTGGTCCATGCTGGGCAACTCTCCATGCCTCTGTGCCAGGCTGCTCAGCTGTGTGCTGTTGAGACAGGCAGGCTCAGTGGAGGAGCTATGGCTGACAGCCCCCACACATCAGGACCAGGAGGCTCAGGGGCCCCTCAGCTAGGCTCTGAGCTCACTCACATGGGAGTCAGTGAAGTTGCTGCCTATTTACACCAGTGTACATGAGATCAGGGTCTGGCCCTAGGACTTGACCCCTAAGGGCAGCGAGGTGGCTGGCTGCCGGGGAGCTCTGCGGCTGCTTCAGGGCGGGGAATCCATTCTGGCTGATTTGGTTCCGGTGCCAGATCCCCAGCTGGGGTGAATCAGCAGCGCTTGCTGCTACGCTGTTCTATGCGTGCCTGGAGCCTGTCAAACGAGTGGATTTTACATGTCGAAAAACATATCGTTTTTTTAAAGTGAGATGTGAACGCTAATTGTTCCCTCTGCGGGCCAGGGAAGCTCCCCGAGGAGGGACAGATCACGGTTAATTTACCGTGACCATGTAGATACCCGTTGGTGCCCTGTTCCGGTCCAGGAGCAACGGTGGCATTAAATCATTCTCCTGCTTTTCCATCCCCATGAGCCCTGGTCGCGTCTGTTCAGGGGAATTTTCACACTCGGCATTATTTGCATTCAAACCATGTTCAAGCAATGTCTAAATGCGGTTTTAAAAGGGAGCTGCTTGTCTGTGAGTGGAGTCGCCCGGTAAGTGGAGCAGAACCTTAGGAGCCAGGACTCCTGGATTCTAGTCCCAATATTATCACAGACTTTGGACGCTGTGGGTGACAATGCTGTCCTGAATTGCACACATTCAGGTATTTAAAGTACTGCTATATGCAGGCTGTACAATTGTAATATATTTCTGGTGTTGGCAGCTGATTACCTATGTGCTTAAGCCCACTATTTGTAATTTATCATTTTCTTTGTCCCCGATGTTTGGCTGCTAATAACATTCCTTCCAGTTTTAACAAAGATGTTTTCATTTCAGATCATGTGATGTTGTGGAGAATACCGATCAGCTCATCTGTATTATGATGAAGAGACACCAACACCGTAGCTGTCTTAAACCCAGCTATGTATATATATCAATGACACACAACCTCTCCTCCCCCCCCAGTAAAGGAACATTCAGGTTGCAAAGTCAAGCACTCAAAAGTTGGGAAAGGCCAGAATTAAGGTGTCCCCCCCCCCGCCGCCTCTCCTCAGGGATCTGATCTCCGTTTCCTACACTACCAACTGATTCCCAGTCCCCTCCCCACCCCAGCTTCCAGTCTTAGCCTCCATCCCTAGTCCCAGTCTCTTTGCCCTGCAAGTTCCAGCCTCCACGTCTCCACCCCAGACCATGGCTTTTCCTTCCCCCATTCCACTCTCACCAGGCCCCTTGTCCCATCTACTCCTTTCCCTCCCACCTCTAGGCTGGCTCTTTTCCTCTCTGCGTTCGGCTCAGGTGGCTTCCACCTCCAAACCGCGTGGACACCAGGGAGCGGAGTGGGGCGGGGCGGGGGCCTGGGAGCACAGGAGAGCGAGCTCCGGGGCTGGATCACGCTCAGTCACCCTATGAGCTAGGGCTGTGGGAGGATGCAGCGTGCTCAGTGAAAACAGAATCATCAGAGATGGTAGCCGTGAAATTCTAAGACGTCTCCACCGAGCGTGTGTGAACTTGCAATTTTTCGAAGGCTTAGGTTGCTCTGATTTTGGTGGATTTTCACAGGGATGGCAAAAGGCATGTTCCTGACACCAAGGCCAAATTTCAAGTCCCTGCTCCAAAGGAGAGGGGTGCTACCGCATTTTAACAGTATTTAACGCATTTAAACGGCTCGTCCGTTTTTTTTAAATGGCACACTCACCCATTGTGTTGCTGCCCTTGTTCTCAGACGCAGCTGATCCATTTCGGCTGAAAAATTCCCCCAAACTTCAGCCCGAGGCAGGCACCCAGCCGGCAAATTTCAGCCCAGCTAAAGTTTGGCAAAATTATAAGCAACACAAGGTGTTAAGATGGGAAGAGTTGAACAACTGTAATTACAGTTACTGCTACCAGATCCACCTATCATAAATGCCCGTCACACTCTGGGAGATTTCAGATCCTGATCTGGTTCTGGACTTCGCAAGATGTGCCCATTTCCAGTCTAAACAGGCATAAATGATCGTTGTTTGCTTGCCAATGACAATGTGCTTGGTGCTGTATACGAAACAGATCAGAAAGGCATGCAGAGTCCCGAAGAATTTACAGTCTGTAGCCTGGTCTCTGCTAGTAGAATGATGCACTGCTGAGAACGGGGGGTCAGCTAGACCTAGGCTGACTGCAAGAGTAGAGAGAGCCAGGCTGATTTGCACCACTTCAGGAACTGTGTGCAACATGATAGACCTGCTCCGGAGGGGGTGTGAAAAAGCCCAGCCCAGCAGCCCCCTCTCTTACAAAAATCCCATTCAAGTCAGTGGGAGCTTAGCGTGAGAGAGGACTGGGGACCTGCTTTTACGCTCACTTAAGCTGCTGGAAAACCATATGATTCCAAAAAGAACAGGAGGACTTGGGGCACCTTAGAGACTAACTAATTTATTTGAGCATAAGCTTTTGTGAGTGATTTTGTGTGTGATTTCCCCCTGTGCTCACTTCATCGGATGCATTCCAGTTTTCTATCCACGTAGGTGCTTGTCTGGCCCCATTACCGTGGTATCTGAGCCCCCTACTGTCTTTAATGTATGTATCCTGACAATACCCCTGCAAGGCATTATCACCATTTTACAGATGGGAAACTGAGGCACAGATACCGCCCCCCCAAAAAAAGGACAGTCTGTGGCTGAGCCAGAAACAGAGCCCAGATCTCCAAGCCAGTTCCCTGTGTGCTAGCCCAGCCTTCCTCCCACCCCTGCTGCTTTAGTGGCTCTGACCCAAAGCTTCCCGGCCAGAGCCCAGGAATCAAACTGCTTCGAAACCAAATCTGCCCTGGCACCCAGAGTGTTACAGAGAGCCGGATCCTCCTGCCGGGATCCCTGCCAGGCCCCTCCCCAGAGCAGCTCCCGCTGCCCTCACCCCATTCTCTGGCCAGCTCTCTGGCTCTCCCTGCCCTGCCTGCTTTCAGCCACCAAGGAAGCGTTGGGCCGAGCCCCTGAGCCTGGTGGCTGCACTTTGACTGGAGTCAGACTCCCCTGGGGGTCTCTGTGACTAGTGGCAGCCGTGGCCCCACACCAGACCCAGGCCAGAGACAGTGGGGGGGTGGGGCGGAGGGGGCTGGGACGTTAGATGCATGTAATAGACACTCAGCTGTCTCCCTTGGCATCCCCCTCTACCCACCCCCCGTGTGTGTGCTTGTATGTGTGTGATCTCCCCCCCATGTGTGAACTCCCCCTCCTTGTGTGTGTGTGAGCTCCCCCTCCCTGTGTGTGTGTGATCGCCCCACTCTGTGTGTGTCTCCCTGCTCTCTGTGTGTGATTTCCCCCGTGCGTCCTTGTGTGTGTGATCTCCACCTCCTTGTGTGTGTGTGATCTCCCCGCTCTGTGTGTGTCTCTCCCTATGTGTGTGTGTCTAATCTCCCCACTCTGTGTGTGTGTGTGTCTGTGTGTGTGTGTCTCCCTGCTCTGTGTGTGTGATCTCCCCACTCTGTGTGTGTGTGTCTCCCCGCTCCGTGTGTGTGTGTGATCTCCCCGCTCTGTGTGTGATCTCCCTGCTCTGTGTGTGTCTCTCCGCACTCTGTGTTTGTGTGTATGTATGTCTCTGGAGGTGTGTGTGATCTCCCTACTGTGTATGTGTGTGTGTGTGTGTTCTCTCTCTGCTCCGTGTGTGTGTGTCTCCCCACTCCGAGTGTGTCTGTGTCTCTCCCTGCTCTCTGTGTGTGTTTGTGTGTCTGTCTCTCCCGGCTCTGTGTGTGTCTCTCCCGGCTCCCTGTGTGTGTGTGTCCGTGTGTGTCTCCTCCCACTCCGTGTGTGTGTCTCTCCCCGCTCTCTGTGTGTGTTCCTGTGTGTGTCTCTCCCCACTCCGTGTGTGTGTCTCTCCCCACTCTCTGTGTGTGTTCCTGTGTGTGTCTCTCCCCGCTCTGTGTGTGTGTGTCTCTTCCTGCTCTGTGTCTGCGTGTGTGTGTGTGTCTCCCCGCCCCATGTGTGTGTGTCTCTCCTAGCTGCATGTGTGTGTGTCTCCCCGCCCCGTGTGTGTCTGTGTGTCTCTCCCGGCTCCGTATGTGTGTCTCCCCGCCCCGTCTGTGTGTCTGTGTGTCTCTCCCGGCTCTGTGTGTGTGTCTCCCCGCCCCATGTGTGTCTGTGTGTGTGTGTGTCCTGGCTCTATGTGTGTGTGTGTGTGTGTGTGTCTCTCCCCGCTCTCTGTGTGTGTCTCTCCCGGCTCTGTGTGTGTCTGTGTGTCTCTCCCCACTCTCTGTGTGTGTCTCCCCACCCCGTGTGTGTGTGTGTGTGTCTCTCCCTGCTCTCTGTGTGTGTCTCTCCCGGCTCCGTGTGTGTGTGTGTGTCTCCTGGCTCTGTGTGTGTGTCTGTGTGTCTCTCCCCACTCTCTGTGTGTGTCTCTCCCCGCCCCGTGTGTCCGTGTGTGTGTGTGTGTGTCTCCCCGCTCTCTGTGTGTGTCTCTCCCCGCCCCGTGTGTCCGTGTGTGTGTCTCTCCCCGCTCTCTGTGTGTGTCTCTCCCCGCCCCGTGTGTCCGTGTGTGTGTCTGTGTGTCTCTCCCTGCTCTCTGTGTGTGTCTCTCCCCGCTCTGTGTGTGTGTGTCTCTTCCTGCTCTGTGTCTGCGTGTGTGTGTGTGTCTCCCCGCCCCATGTGTGTGTGTCTCTCCTAGCTGCATGTGTGTGTGTCTCCCCGCCCCGTGTGTGTCTGTGTGTCTCTCCCGGCTCCGTATGTGTGTCTCCCCGCCCCGTCTGTGTGTCTGTGTGTCTCTCCCGGCTCTGTGTGTGTGTCTCCCCGCCCCATGTGTGTCTGTGTGTGTGTGTGTCCTGGCTCTGTGTGTGTGTGTGTGTGTGTGTGTCTCTCCCCGCTCTCTGTGTGTGTCTCTCCCGGCTCTGTGTGTGTCTGTGTGTCTCTCCCCACTCTCTGTGTGTGTCTCCCCACCCCGTGTGTGTGTGTGTGTGTCTCTCCCTGCTCTCTGTGTGTGTCTCTCCCGGCTCCGTGTGTGTGTGTGTGTCTCCTGGCTCTGTGTGTGTGTCTGTGTGTCTCTCCCCACTCTCTGTGTGTGTCTCTCCCCGCCCCGTGTGTCCGTGTGTGTGTGTGTGTGTCTCCCCGCTCTCTGTGTGTGTCTCTCCCCGCCCCGTGTGTCCGTGTGTCCGTGTGTCTGTGTGTCTCTCCCCGCTCTCTGTGTGTGTCTCTCCCCGCCCCGTGTGTCCGTGTGTGTGTCTGTGTGTCTCTCCCCGCTCTCTGTGTGTGTCTCTCCCCGCCCCGTGTGTCCGTGTGTGTGTGTGTGTGTCTCTCCCCGCTCTCTGTGTGTGTCTCTCCCCGCCCCGTGTGTCCGTGTGTGTCTCTCTCCCCGCTCTCTGTGTGTGTCTCCCCACCCCGTGTGTGTGTGTGCGTGTCTCTCCCTGTCCTGTGTGTGTGTGTGTCTCCTGGCTCCGTGTGTGTGTGTGTGTGTCTCTCCCCGCGCCCCGTGTGTGTCTCTCCCCGCCCCGTGTGTGTGTGTGTCTCCCCGCTCTCTGTGCGTGTCTCTCCCCGTCCCGTGTGTGTGTGTGTGTGTCTCTCCCCACCCCGTGTGTGTGTGTGTGTCTCTCCCCACCCCGTGTGTGTGTGTGTGTCTCTCCCTGCCCCGTGTGTGTGTGTGTCTCCCCGCTCTCTGTGCGTGTCTCTCCCCGCCCCGTGTGTGTGTGTGTCTCCCCGCTCTCTGTGCCTGTCTCTCCCCGTCCCGTGTGTGTGTGTGTGTGTGTCTCTCCCCACCCCGTGTGTGTGTGTGTGTGTGTCTCTCCCCGCCCCGTGTGTGTGTGTGTCTCCCCGCTCTCTGTGCGTGTCTCTCCCCGTCCCGTGTGTGTGTGTGTCCGTGTGTGTGCTCCCCACCCCGTGTGTGTGTGTGTGTGTCTCTCCCCCGCCCCCGTGTGTGTGTGTGTGTCTCTCCCCGCCCCGTGTGTGTGTGTCTCTCCCCGCCCCGCGTGTGTGTCTCCTGGCTCCGTGTGTATGTGTGTGTCTCTCCCCGTCCCGTGTGTGTGTGTGTGTGTGTCTCTCCCCACCCCGTGTGTGTGTGTGTGTGTGTCTCTCCCCGCCCCGTGTGTGTGTGTGTCTCCCCCTCTCGCCCCCCCGTGTGTGTGTGTCTCTCCCCACCCCGTGTGTGTGTCTCCTGGCTCCGTGTGTTGTGTGTGTCTCCCCTCCCCCCCGTCCCGTGTGTGTGTGTGTGTGTGTCTCTCCCCACCCCGTGTGTGTGTGTGTGTGTGTCTCTCCCCGCCCCGTGTGTGTGCGTGTCTCTCCCCGCCCCGTGTGTGTGTGTCTCTCCCCGCCCCGCGTGTGTGTCTCCTGGCTCCGTGTGTATGTGTGTGTCTCTCCCCGCCCCGTGTGTGTGTGTGTGTGTGTGTCTCTCCCCGCTCCGCGTGTCTCCCCGCGTGTGCCCCCTGCCCTTATATGGCCGCGGCGGGGCGCGCCGGCTCTCCTGGGGGTGGTGCTGAACGAACAGCTCCCCGCGGCGCCCGCCCACCCCGCGCCAGTCGGCGGCGAGCGCAGCCCGGGCCCCAGCGCCGCTGCTCGCGGGGTGCCTCGGCGCAGCCATGACCCAGGCCAGCCCCGCTCCAGCCGCCGCCGCCGCCGCCGGACCCTCGCCCTCCGCCCGGGCGCCGCCGCCGGCCGCAGCATGAAGCGGCAGAACGTGCGGACCTTGGCCCTCATCATCTGCACCTTCACCTACCTGCTGGTGGGCGCCGCCGTCTTCGACGCCCTGGAGTCGGAGCAGGAGACCTCGGAGCGGCGGCGGCTGGAGGAGAAGCAGCTGGAGCTGAGGGGCAAATACAACCTGAGCAGCGACGGGTACAAGGAGCTGGAGTGGGTGGTGCTCAAGCTGAAGCCCCACAAGGCCGGCGTGCAGTGGAAGTTCGCCGGCTCCTTCTACTTCGCCATCACCGTCATCACCACCATCGGTAAGGCCGGCGCGCCCATCCCCGTGGCGTCCGGGCGGCGGGCGGCTCCCCAGCGGCTTTTATGGAGCGGGGGGGGGGTGAGGTTATTGGCCGGAGAAAGGAGGCTGTGACTGCTTCCGCGTGGTGGGACACCCCCCCTCCCCCTGTGACGCCCCCCCCCGCCCCACACACACACTCTCTCCCATCCCCTTTTAATCCCCGTCCTTAAAAGCCCGGGTTAGTTCGCTTTGCACCGGGGTGGGGGCGGGATAGCTCGGCGGTTTGAGCATTGGCCTGCTCAACCCAGGGCTGTGACTTCAGTCCTTGAGGGGGGCCCGTTAGGGATCCGGGGCGAAAAGTGGGGGATTGGTCCCGCTTGGAGCAGGGGGTGGGACTAGATGACCTCCTGAGGTCCCTTCCCACCCTGATCTTCTATGATTGGACCCCTTCGGAGTCAGCCCCAGTCCTGGGCTACTTCCAATTCCCGGAGGTCTCCCCCGGCAAAGGGGCCCGGAGCAGGAGTTTGGGCCGTGGTGTAGGGAAGTCGAGTTGATTGCAGGGAAGGCGGCGCGGGGTTTGGTTGATCCGGTAACGAAGGGGGGTGATTAGCGGGGAAGAATTGGAAAGCGCCCTGCAGCCCGTCAGTCCGCTTGTGGGGTGTGCCGAGGGCATGGGGCAGGCACAGGCGGGAGCGCCCGAGCCAAGGCGCCGGGCCTGACTTGGAGGGTTTGCAAGCTGCTGGCAAGGGACTGTTCCTCCCCGAGAAGCGGTCTGGGACCCCCTGGGAAACTCCAGGCTGCGTTTTGCTCTGGGGCTGGGTTTTCTGCACGGTGACAACACACACACACACGCACGCACTTGTTTTGCAATTTGCAAGCGTGCAAAAAGGGGAGGGGGGGGCGGATTGTTTGCAAATTCGCCGCTTGTTTTGCCATTCAGCAAGGCATGAAAACAAAGGCGGGGCGGGGGGGGCGGCTTTCCACTCCCCGGGGCTTGGCTTTTGTTGTTGCTGGGGCTGCGGAGGGTTCCTCCCTCCTGGGTATTTTTAAAAGGTGTCGTGTGGAAGCAGAAGCGATTCCCAAAGTGGGACCTCGCGCCCTCCCCCACCCGGGCATGGCTCTTCTCAGCCGGGGAAGTTAGCAGGCAAGAGCCCCAACCCCCAACTCAGCACTGATTTGGCCCATTTGCTGCCGGGCAGGCTTGAATGGGATCTCACGCCTGTTTTAGGCTCCTGTAGCGCCTCTGGGCTCCCGTGCAGTTGCTCCTGATGTACCGCGGCGTCAGTCTGAACAGAATCCGGTGCAAGACTGCTTCTGAACCAGATGCAGATTGGTGCAGTTTGATGCAGCGAGGAAGGGCCAATTCCAGCGTCCGGATTCATTTCTGACCCCCATTTTTACACCGGTGTGACTCCGGTTGAGCCACTCCTGATTTACACCGCTGCAAAATCTGGAGTAGAATCAGGTGCCAGGCGCCTGGGGTGTTAGTGAGCAAACTGGATCCAGAGCCGGGAGCAAGTCCCTTCCGGATTCCAGATGATGTTGCTGCAACCCAGGCCAGGTCTAGTCTCATCTACTCTAAACTGCTCTTTTTTAAAGACTCCGTTGGCAGCTCTTTGTGAGCTCCTGTGTTGAAGCAAATCTCCCTGTTGTGGGGTTGATTTAGGACATCCCTTTGGCTGAGGACGCGTTGTCTGCCCGGGCCGTCTTGGTTGCAGAACCTCATTAAGCTCCAATTGAAAATGACCTCACATTGTCTGCATTTGCCTTGTTCCACCGAGGGTTATCTCTGCAAACGGCTCCAAGGAGTTCGAAGATGATCATCCCTTAGAATAAAGCCGCCTTGGCCGTCACTCGCGCAAGGGTCTTGTTTTGCTACCAAGCCCCGTAAAAAAACAACCCACTTCTGATGTTTTCCCTCCCACTGTTGTGGTCTTCGATCTTCCTTTGGTCCCAGGAAAGGGAGGGATTCGTGGCAGACGCAGTGGCCCCGTCCGCACTAGGGAAGTTGCCTGAGTGTTCCCCCCTTTGGCTACCCCCTGCCGAACTCCACCAGCATTAGCAGCCCCGTGAGCCCTGGTGTAGACAGGAGACTGGTGTTTCTAACCCTCTGTCATGGAATCCGGCTCAGAGCAGGATTCTTCGATGTGGTGTTAAAACCCCCGGAGGTGGCGGGTGGCTCCGAGCTCTGCAGGTGGGCTGGCATGCAGCCATCGTGCAGACAGCGACAGTGAGGTCAGACGTGGGGCAGGCCTCAATCAGGAGCTGGAATAGCACCTGTTCCGGCTCCAAACCAACCTGCCAGGGCACCTCAACCCTTAGCTGCAGCGCCCCCTGCTGTCCCAGTGCCGCCCCGCTGTGCCAACGCCCTGCAGTCCTGACCCGCAGCCCCCCCCCGTTCCAGTCCTGTACCCCTCCACACACACACCCTGACGATGCCCCTTAGCCCTGCCCCAGCCTGCTGAGTGGGCAGCCAGTTGTCCCAAATCCTGCTAAGCTGTGTCGTGTTTTCCTCTGGAGCGGGAGCACACGGGGATGGACTCACACCAATTATCAGCCCTACGTCTCCACGGTGCGGCTGCCTGAGCTCCTCCCTCCTGGCTGGCTTCGTTCTTTCCTTCTCCCACTCCCCTCTTTCCCCCTACCAGCCCCTTCCCTGCCCTCTGCTTCCCTCTCCTCATTCACCCCGCTCCACTAACACACATGCCCTCTGGGGGGCCTTTCCAGCCTGGCTATGCGGGGGGTGGGGCAGGTGGAGAGCCAGGCTGGCTGATTTGTGGCTCTGCAACTATACTGGCCCCCCCCACACTGAAGTGCAGCAGCCATGGGGCGGCTGGTAGCTTAGGGTGCCAGAGTGGCTCTGTTCCGATCCATGGGGTGGGGACAGGATCCCTCCTGTAGCAAGCCTGGCTATTCAGGGTTGGGTCCCATGTCTACTCTAGACAGTCTTTTCCCTAGCGGTTTCCATCATTACAATATCGAACCCTGGGGCAACCCAAGCCAAGGAGTTCAATGCACAGACCCCGCAGGGCCATGACTTCCATCCAGTACCTCACAGGGCTGGGCGGCTCCTTCCTTCCGGAGGGCAACAGAAGCCAGGGTGCCCAGCATCTTGCAGGAAGCAGATGGTAGCTTGCAGCATGGGGCCTCTAATTTGCATTAAACAGAGCAGGTTGCAGCTGGCCTCCTCTTGGGTACAGAGGTGCAGGCCGCAGCATGCACAGTGTTGCCTGGATCCAAGTGGCCAGGCATGTCTCGGCTCCCAGTGGAGCATTGCGTGCTGGGAACCATAGCCCTCACCGGCTGCACATCTGTGTTGTTCATCTGTGTGGTTAACACCCAGGGGCTGTGTTTAGCTGCCCGTTGGCCTCCCCCTCTCCAGCCCATCCTGGAGATCTGGGGTCCTGCCATCCTCTCCCCTCACCCTCGGGACAGTGTCTACAGAGGTTTGACAAATCTGCCCATCTTCCCCCCACAACTGTCCTCCACTGTCTCAGCTGCCTGGTTTTCCGCTTTCCTCCTTGGCCAGCTGGGAATACGCTCCGGCAGCCTTTGACTGTCAGCAGGAGTCATCTGTTCAGCTGGGCGCTGCATGCGTTCCCTCCTCCTCTAATTACCCTTTTAAATTGCTTACATTTATTACCGTTACTGATCTCGCAATCCATTTCTCCCTACCAGGGAGACTTCCCATAAACACTCCACTGACAGTGTCTGTTCCTTCCTGTGGTAGAGTTCTTTTGCCTGACACACTTCTCTCTGGACCAGCATTTCTTGTCCCTTGGAAATCAGCTTCCTGAAAGAACTGGCAGAAACTTGTGCGGCTTTGATAGGAACCATCGGACAGGAGCAGATCCCAGGTCCCTCGGTTCCATGCCCTGTGTAGCACTCAGTGGCTCAGAGGAAGGTGCAAAGATCTCTGCAATGGGTTGTTAGGGAGTAACCACTGGGAAAGTTTCTTCCTGCCACACAGTAGTGAGAGGTCTCGGCTTATGCCCTGAAGCAGGGAGGTTGATAACTAACCCTTCCAAATTCTTGGTTGTGTGTGAATTCTTCTAACTCTAGATGTTCTCAGTACCCACATAAATGCCCAATCCCTTGTTTAAATCCTGCTAAGCATTTGGCCATAGTGCTGTCCTATGGCAGTGGGTTCCACAGGCCCGCTCAGTGTTGTGCAAAAGTGTGTCCTTTGCTCTGTGTTGAACGTGACACATTTTGGTTACTTTGAGAGCCCCTTGTTTTTGTGTTATGAGCCAAGGCAACTGCCAGTACTCATTCACTTCTCCTGTCCCATTCATTACTTGCTATATATCATGTCTCCTCTTGTTCATCTCGGGTAAGATTTATGCTCACCCACCACTGAAAGGCAGCCACCTCTGGGGTGAGGCACAGCAGCTGTTCAACAGTCACCCAGCTGTGCTGCACAGAGATCATTTGCCACCACTGAAAGGCAGCCACCTCTGGGGTGGGGCACAGCAGCTGTTCAACAGTCACCCAGCTGTGCTGCACAGAGACCATTTGCCACCACTGAAATGCAGCCACCTCTGGGGTGGGGCACAGCAGGTTTTTTAAAGGGCTAAGACCAGCATTCTTCACACACCAAGAGCTCCCATTGAAGCCAGTGGGAGCTTTGTGTGCACCCAGAATACAGGCTAAGCTCTAAATAATGGTAGCTGCACTATCATTGAGGTTGAGTTGGTATAAAACTGTTTGTGTGGCCCAGTGGGTCTGACACCAGACTGGGAGTCTGGAGAACCGAGCATTGTTTGTCTCTGCCACTGACTCACTCTGTGTCCTTCAGCAAGTCACTTTCCCCTTTCTGTGCCTCAGTTTCCCCACTTGTGACGTGGGGGTAATGACACTGAATAGAGGTGGTTGGAAGTCAGACGTGCTGCCATTTTGAAATTTGTTTTCTTTCCAAACTGGAAGAAAACCAAAACATTTCAAAATTTTCCACAAAATGGAATTTTCGGAAAAAGAATTCACGTCAGGACAACTGACACGCTTTGTTCTGTGAAGATCAAA